TCTACAAAAAACCTTAATACATTTTTGCTCTAAAATAATTTGGGGAGCCAATAATCGCATGTTATGAATTCTACATTGAAATCCCTATGATGCGTTACGCAAGTCACCACCCTGTATAGTAGTTAAGTTGTTAATATATTTCTTCGCTTTGTCACTTGTGTATTGACTGGGTCCGCTCCCACAGCGACCCTGTAACAGCTGACTGTTTCTTCGGTGTGGAATCGAAATTGACTTTCAGCTGAGCTCTGCACGAATCGACCACAGAATCCTCGCTGTGTTATTGGAGAACCAACCATCCAAATACAGAGCCTTTTCCCAACTGGTATTACACCGGAATTCCCGAGAGAAGGATTTAAACATCAACCCTCGAACATCGAGAAGGCATTCTAAGTTTCGCTTAGAGTTAAAACACCAGGAGTAGACGGATAGAGACCTGGTCCAACTACGGGTTGAGTTCTCCCACGCTCTTCGAAGTAAGTGAGTGAAGCCTTCTCCAACGCACGAGAGATTTCTTTTTAAAAATGGCGATTTGCACTTTTTTCCAATTTTCTACGAAACGAATTATTTTTTTACTGCTGATCTTAGTGTTGTGGTTTGAAATTGGTAACTTTCTTTAGTTGTTTAGCGTGTATATATTTTGTGTATGGTTATTGTTTATAATTACGTTAGCTGGTTGTAAATGTTTATATGTTTCTTTGTTCACTGTATTATATGCACAGTTCTGCTAGTGAGATAATTTCTTGCTCACGGCTTGATCGATATCTTCGGAATCCACTCAATGGACGGATTGACTAAAAATTGTTTTGCGATAACGACTAGCGTAGGTTCGGCACCGCACAATCGCCTAACGAATGATCTTGTTTACTATTTATTTTCATATTAATTATAGGTAAACTATGACCCAAACGGCGCTTTATCATACAACGAGGAATGGCTACTCCGCGTTATCACAAGCTTTTGTCAGTTAACATTCGGTTGCGAAAGACACATTTAACCCTGCTTTCTCGCTCTTATTTTAATTACAATGACCCGCTTCATTTAACTCATCCTGAATATACACACGTAATGCAGTATGTATTATCTTACTTTATTTACATCACAAATAAAATTGCATTTTTAACCGCGATTGTTACTTCCTTACTGTCAATAAAATACCAACTAAATATAATTAATCTCCTTTCGGTGCTAAAACACTCATAAGGTCAATATGTAGGTTATGCATGTTTAATAAACTGTACAATTTTCTGTGCATATGGAGGATCATTAGATAGTCTACGTAGCTGAAAAACAATAGCGACTTTTCTTGTATGCTTAAGAACATGTGTATAAAGTTATAATAATAATAATAATTTTTATTTCATTAGGTTTTCCAATAATTTACAAAAAAGATAAGAAAACAAAACATTTGTATTGTACACTATAAACAATCTCGAAGATCTTTAATAAAATCGGTAAATATAGTGGTTGTTGCAGATTGAATAATTTGCTGTTCTCTGAAGCGATGTGAACCTGCTTCATCAGATGGTGTCATGTCAACGTGTCTTGAGAGTTGCTAATCAAAGTCCCCGAAGTAATTGATGTTGTTTACGCACTGAAACTTGCAACACTGTACTACTTAATCAAGCTTTTGGCGTATTTACATACATACATATTAATCGCAAATAACGCTGTGACAATCAATTGTAGTTCGCGTTACATTGTATGCTGTTTAAGTAAATTTCCTGAATAATTAGTACAAACGTGACTATACACGCGATAGATTCCTAATTAAGGAATAATGAGATTAGCTTTACGAGCTCGCTTGAAGTGCGACGATTAATGACATCGTTAATTTACAGAAATCAATTATACAACATAGACACAATAATTCGTCGAAAGGCGTATATTAATATTTCGCCTCCCCAGATTGCAATTCCAGATTTTGATTACTAGTTAAGTTCTCGGTTGAACTACCCCCTAGAAATTGATGAAGATTCGCCAATAAGTGGTTCGGTTTATCGAAAACGTAGACACGTTGATTGCTATGGCGTAGTGCGGCGTAAAGCTCTTTGTTGATCCGTTGTATTTCGACTAAAATAAGAATACAAAACATGACGTTAGTGTAGTGTAGATACTCCGATTTTCTAAAGTTACTCGAATAACCTGACACCGAAGTAAGTAAGCGAGAAAGATTTTATATCTGGTTTCTACACTAACAATTCTCGAGGGTGCTTTAAGCTTGTTAACACAATATTGTTTCGAAAAAGTTATATGGCCGGATCTAGTATTCACTACATTCCGATAATGTCCTTGTTATTCAGGTAATTTATTACAACGCACTTCAGGCCGTACCCCGGGAAGGTTAAATCCAATTATGTTTTGCCTAAGAGAAAGCCTCCTTTCCTTCGTTTTAATTAATAAGCATAATAGATCGCTATATGGAATCATAGCAAAAGCTCTCGTCCTGTGAACCTCTTTTTGTCTCAACATCCATAATTTAATGAACGGTTTATTTATATGTACCACTTACTCTATTTCATTCCATAGCTAATCACGACAATTACTGAAATTGTTGCGTTACTTACTTCAAAGTGGGGTTGCAATATTAATAACTAAAAGTAAACAACAATCAAACATAGTTTAGTGGAAAACATACAATTTGAATCAGTATTTGTAGGCTTTCGATTTGTATGGACCATAATGTTAATAAACAAATTTCAGCATGCACTCGATATGCATGACGTGTAATGAATATGTAATTACCAACAATTTGTCGAAAGTGAGTGATGAAACAATACTGTTCCACGTGCATTTGAAATGACGTATGTTTTGGTAGTAGATTTAATTAGATTTCCCATATGTAATTGACCAACCGCATTTCGTCGACAAGATATTCATAGAATGGACATTTCGTATACGAATGGGGGACGTCAAAATATGTAAATAATTTAGCGACTTTAAAATTAAAGGGACATTACATTGTGCGCCTAAGGCTACTTAGAGATAACAAACATCTGGCGATCTGAGTGCCAACATAATAATCTCCTGCTCAACGTGGGACCGACCGATACAGGAAGACTCGGCTCTGCGCGATTCGCCCCCGTACTGGTCGGCATAGGAATGCTTGGTTTCGGGACAATTCGGCTCCGGCCCTACTTGCCTCCGGGATTACTCGGCTCCGGAACTATTTGGCTTCGGGAGAACTCGACTCCGGGTCTACTCGGCTCTGGGATCATTCGGCTCTAGGATAACTCGGCTCTGGGATAACTCGGTACTATGACTACTCGGCGCCGGGGCTATCCGGCTCTAGTATTACTCGGTAATTATACCAATTACCAATCATATTGCTCATCTTAGTACAGCAGTGGAATAAAACGAGGGAAAAGAAAAGCTCGGCCTAAAAAATAAAATTGGGGGGGGGGGGGGGGGGGGAGTGTGCTGTATGAGTTTACTTTATCTTGTTTCAAAACCATTTGTAGATTTAAAAAATATATTTAATATATAATTTAAAAGAAGAAAACTATATTTTTCGTCGAGTTAATTTTTATTTAGAGTTGGGAGGGGGGGGGGGGTATTTTAGATTATTAGAATTTTAAATAGTTCCATTTTTTAAAGAATTTTTTCTTTTT